GTGAGGTGCATGGGAGATGGTGGGGGAGTGGGGTGTGGTGGTGGGGGGGTTGTGAGGTGGAGGAGGGGGATGAACAGGTGGGACAGCACTTTGCAGACACTACCCTCCCGAGCTCCTCCGCCGCTCCACAGCATTTCCGCCGCCGCCCTCCGCCGCCTGTGGTGGGCGTGAAACCCACCTTGGCCCCATCCCCTACTTGATTTGGGTTTGGATTGACGAGTGTACGGCACTTGAACCTGAACAGAAACCAAACCAGGGAACTTTTCCTTACAGCAAAAAACAAGGTATACAAAAGCTTGGAGAACAGGGTCTCTGGTTCGGGAGTATTTACAAAATCATCGTCATATCATATGATTCCCATATCCCCGCTCTTAAGGGGTTGTATAACCGCCGAATCCCCACCCGTGCAACACCCTTCCCATCCGCTCCCGCTTTTCCCCCCAATTCCCATTTCCCCCCGGCACCCAACTCCCCTCAAATACACACACGCAGGCCAAGGGCGTGTTGCGTATCGGCAGTTGCGGTGTGGAGTTGCCCTTCCTGTCCGAGAGCCAAATACCCCGGGACTTCTCAGCACACGTGGAGGACGTGAGCGAGGCGGAGGCGAACAGGCGGATGGAATCAGGTATGGAATCATGTATGTATGCATGTGTGTATGTAGTGTGTACGACATATTGGTAAGGGGTTAAGGGGGAGGTGGATGTCTTGCACTTGAAGACAAGGAGGAAGGAGTTGGGTGCCCCGGTGAAGCTCAAAAAAAAGAATGCCGGGAGTGTGTATGTATGTATGTATGCATGTGCGAGTGTATTCCTAGAAGCGTTTGCAGACATGGGCTGTATATCTTCTATAGTCGTTTCCCTTGTTGTATATAATATTCTGCAAATTTCACACACTACCAACCCAACGCCACCCAATCAACTTATCACCCGGAGGGGGCCCTACCCCGAAAATAATTACCTTCTATTACACCTCAACTGTTTACAATCCATCCACAGATGCAGCAGCAGCTGCAGGTCGTACGGGGGGAGATAAAATGGACACGGAAGGGCCCCCCGCAGCCGGTGGTGGTGGTGTTGGCGGGGTAAGTGCATCCGGCTCTACACCCTCCACAACACAGCCAACCGCCGCAGCCATTCCCACACCGCCGCCACAACCGCCACCCCAGCACCCGCAACCGACAGTTGCGGCGCCGGTACCAACACCACCGACCGGGGGGGCATCTGGCGGTGCTACTGCCGCCGGTGGTGGTGGTGGTGGTGGCGGCAGTGGCAACAGCGCTGACTTGGAGACCAAGATCTCCCAGTTAATGGGTCTGGGTGCGGATCGAACCACGGCCATTCAGGCATTGCGCGCGGCGAATGGGCAAGTTGAGATGGCGGCCAGTTTGCTGTTCGACATGTGATGGGCATCTGTGTGTGTGTATGTATGTATATGTGTATCCGTGTGTGTGTATCCACGTGTATGTGTGTGAGAGAGAGAGACAGCGAGAGAGGGATGCCATGTTGATATGTCGTCTGAAAAGGAGGGCAAAATGTTGCTTCATGCTTCTCTATGAACTGCCTGAGGCGGTGTAGCGAGGCGGTGCAACGAGTTTACAGACTGAAACCCACCATGAAAAATTTTAAATAAATATAAATATTAAAGGGGAGGGAACAGAAGTTTAAGGGAAAGAAGGAAAGAACAATATCGGTATCTGCTGCGCCGGGGTTACCAACCAGTAACGCGAGCATCACACCTCAATTGCCTAAAACTCCCATCATTAAATCATCGCGGCCCCTCAGGAATTGGCTCCGCCCCCTCAGGGTTGTCGTCATTCCCATTATGGGGACAAGGGTATCCTGCGGCAATCCAAAGGGGATTCCATTTTGAAAGGCTCGTCGAGTTTGGAGTAATAATGAGTAAAGCGGTTGCTCCTAATTCGCAAATATTTTTACTTCCCCACTTACCATGTGAGGCGAGGGCTAATAGTTGGTGGTATTACGACCGGCAAAGCGCGACAAAGACCATGTGCCCTCGAGTTTGTGTACGCGGCATGCACTTATTTTGAATTTAGCTTGACGTCACGTCGTTCCAACGGCTTACTTTTAAACAAAAGTCTTCGCCCCAAGTCAGTTAATTGTACTCTCAAACTAGTAAAAGTGACTCAACACAGAGCCGCAGGCTGCGCATTGTGCGTTTTGTAGTTTTAAAAGTTTAGCTTTCTCGGAGGGGGCAGACAACTGCTTGTTAAGCTTGGTACACCACAGCAGTACGTTGTAGACCTCCAACCGTTACAACTATACACTGATTTTGCAAGATCGATTATTACGCATGCGTTGGGTTGCGCTGGAAGTGTTGGTGGTTGGCGTTATGGCGGGATGTGAAACAATGCAACATGAACTGGAGTGGCAGGACGGCAGTCGCAGACCTAGGAACGAAAGTACGTGCCGTAAGTGTACGTTGTGTGTTTTGGAAGGCAGGGAACATGTAGGCCCGGTTTCCCGGGTGGGGTGGGGTAGTACCGTGCGATGTGAAACACACATGTCGTGGTGTATGGACGGGGGGAGCCAGTCGGGGTGGGGCACAGTGGCCAAGGGCAGTGGCTGGGGAACAGTTAACGGAGGCAGCAGAGGTGATGTAACGGAAGCTGCCGCAGCGATATCAGAGAGGGGTGAGATATATAGGCATCACCGCAGCGATATCTGAGAGGGGTGATGCCTATATGTCTCAAAGGTGGATGATATACGAGGACCGTGAATTGTGTGAAAGGAGGTGCTGTCACAACCTTTTAACGTCACGTTCATTTTACCGTCTGCCGTACGTCTGCGTGTTTTGTCGACGTACGACGCGACAGTACAGAGGTATAGGGAAGCCACAACACCGGGGCAAGGAGGTGAATTTGCTCCAGTGCTTTTTTTTTCGACCTGTGTATGGATTTCAGTGCTAAAACAATTTTGCGTTGATATGCGTTCAGTTGCGCTTAAGACTTAAGTACCCTTAGCTACACACACTTCTGTGTGACGGTCTTAGGTTCACTTAAGACTTGTTCGGCGAAGTGGCCATAAGGTGGTGTTAGGTTCGTATTGTCGTACAGCTCCGCCACTGGTTGCTAATCTGCCCCGAATGCTTTACTAGGTCAGAAATAATATTTTCAAGAGTATGTGGCTTGAGGGTAAATAAAATCTTCACTAGAGCCCATGTCGTTTGCCGTATAGTAACCCGAAGCAAGAGAGACTTCCTGCAACTGCGAGATCGCGATACCTTTCTGTATCTTTTGCGTCCACACACGAAGGCAGCAGCAAATAAAACGGTGAAGTCAAAAGCAGGAGGAGGTAGCAGAAAACAATCCACACCCACCCCCGAAAGTTAGCGCAGCAGCAGAGCCAGCGCTGTCCCAGCGCGCCTCCTAGCTCTACCCCCAGCCCCCAAACACACACACGCTGCGCTGTCCCCCAACAGCAGAGAACCCTCAACGAAAAAATTGACGCTTCCCACCTAATTTTCAACGACGATGTTGTGTACTGTGCCGTACTTGATGTCTTGTTGCCACGTTTTCATTGTCGTGTTTTCTTTCGACAAGATTTAAAAAAAGAGGCACTTGCGCACTACACGGACGCCCGGATGGGCAATCTCCAGGACTGTGCTCGCTCATTTCCCGTCTGTCTTCTCCTGGATTCCATTTTTTCCCTTTGAATTGAACGTTTTTACTCCAGTTATTCGCCTCACGCAGCCCCAGGCCCCCCACGGTTCAGAGCACACGAACGTCCGCTGGGGTGTACGAATTGGCACCGGGAAGTGATAACATGTTCCAACATTTATATTTGCCCAGGTAGGATCCAGAAGCAAAAATCCATATCCATATCCAGGATCAGACCTTGACCGCCTTGCTTGAACGAGCCAGGAGTCCCGGAAGACAAAAACATTTTGAAGAGCGCAATAATTATACAGTGGTTGAACCCACCATCATCACCATCCTCACCACCATCGGCACTGCCACCACGATAAGTCGACCGTCACCGCTGCCCATGGGTGTGCCCATATCCGTGTCCAATGCTGCTGCTGCTGCTATCTTCCTGCTGTTGGTGCTGCTACTGCTGCTGCAGCTGTGCTTTTGAGGAAATCAGTCTCAAGAGCTCGCTCAGCGCCGGCGGCAACCTCTCTATCGCACGGTTCCTCCCACTCCAACGACCACCGACATAGCCACCATCCTCGACCGTGACCCTCACCCACCCCACCTCCTAAAACTGCTGCTCCTCCCGGAAGCCACCCCACCACTCCTTGCTTTTATCGTATCCTGCTCCTGCCGCCCTTTTACTTGCTTGTAAACTTCTCCACCTCGCCCAGCCACGTCTGGTACTCCCGTTGCTCCTTGTCGTAAATTAGGAAACGCAAATACTCGCCAAGCTCGGCGGTGATTCCGCGCTCCTCCAGAAATGAGAAGAAATTGCGCTGCAGGCTGTCGTCAAGCTCCTCAAACACGGGCCCAGAGTACATGGATTCGGAGGCAAGGCCTTCTTTAGGTTCCAAGGAAACGTGGTTGATGTTGACCGAGCTGCCGTCGCTCTCGCATTCGAAAAGGAGGACTTTGCCTTCTTTGAGTACCGAGACGTTAAAGGCAACCATTGTTATGCCTTCCTCGTCGGCCTCCTCATCCTCGTACGGCGGTGATGGCTGGTTGTTGACGTGAAGGTCGATGGAGATTTCTTCGTTCTTGTAGGTGCGAGAGAGTGTCAGTAGCGTGTCGCCTGGGGCTTCGGTGAGCTTGAACGGCGCGGGAGGGCCGCCCGAGACCTGCTCTGGGCGCACGTAATTTTTCTTCTCGAAATCGAGCTCCTCGCGGAGCAGGCTACTGAGGCTACTGTTTAGAGATGAAGCGCTGGTGGTGAGGGAGCGTGAAAAGGCAGCGGCGGCGCAGCGCAGCAGCGGCAGCTGTGCGGCTTGATGGAGGTTGTGATGCGCCGACTGCTGCGCCGTCGAGATCATGAGCCCAGCCGCCTGAGGGCCCTTGCAGGCTGCAGAACCCCGCTGTGCAAATAAGCTGCAAATGCCCCGTGCGAGACGCTGACGGGAGGCCATTTTTGCTAATGGCGAAAGAAAGATCTGTGCAATATTACAAACGGCAGCTTCAGGACTACTAAGCAGCACGCTGATAGCCAAACCAAACTATGTGCACAGTCAAGAAAAAGATTCATCACGGCACAACAAGTTGCAGCACGTCGCAAAGGGCTCCGGTTTCGGGATGGTGCCGTACATATTACCAGAACTTTCAAAACTCCTGCGTCCATTGCTCAAGTTTACCGCTTGAGTCTATGAGAAGCCCTGAGAGATCACTAAAGTGCAAAATATGTTTCTGCCTTCTGTTTGGCGGGCTGCATCAAACTCTAGCTACACCATATTCCTGGGCAACACAGCTTTTATTCGCGCTGTGTCTGGGAATTAGGTTTACATTTCAGACTTTGGATCCATAGGATAGGTTTCGTCTCGCCTTCGAAGATAGACATGCTGCCGGCGCGTGAGGAGCCAGGAATACGTTCAATAGTGCGGCAGTTTCCTGCGGACACCTTTTCCAAAAGGAATCACCTGAAGGGAATGGAAGTGCGACCGGACTACAACGACCCGCCACCTAAGAAGACGGTGCCTACACCGGTCTTGCAGGCGCAGCGCAACATCGAAACACATTTCATAAAAACGAGAAAGGTGCGAAACATATAAATGTAAGACGTAGCATGTCTGTGGGCTTGCATCCTGCTAGACCTTAGGGTAGGACAGCCGCGTCAGCTCGCGCTACCTCAGCGCTGTTCGCTTCTCCTCCCTGTTAGCCTAACAATGCTGCTTCAGTTACTCCGTAAGCACTAGCCATCTGTACAATCAAGTAATATTCCTCAAAGGATTTTGTCCCTGACTAATTATTATCGCTCTTGCGGCCTGTCCTGGCAACCAGAGGTCCCCGTGCCGAGCACCGTAGCTGTCCTGCAGTCCCCACCCGCTCCCCAAGGCAGTTCCCCTCTCAACGTACACACGCCTTTAATACACACGTACATACGTACATACATGCATAACACGTAGGCGGCGGAGGCTCTGAAGTCCCGGCAAGATTCAAGCTCGCTGTACACATCGGGGAAGGGCTATGGTGCCTAGCTAAGCAGCTGCAGCTGATTACAGATAAGGCTTGGAGCGAGACGAAGATGTAGTCGCATGGTGTGGATGTTGGTTGTGGTTTCGGAGCGAGCTGAGGGACTTATTAGGGCTTGTGAAGAGGGAAGGAGAGGGAGAGGTTCCGCAGTTGACAATTGTGACCAAGACCCAAAGCATAAGAAGAAGAGAAGAAAAAAAGAGGAGGTTTATTAACGATTGGCAATACTTTAGCTACTGCTAGGAGGAGAAGAAGAAGATGAAGAAGAAGAAGGAAAGGAGCTCAGAGAGAGTTTTTACACCTCAGCTTCGTCCATCCTCGTGGATTTGATTCCCCGGCTGACGGCGCTATTACCCCGCAACCTTATTCCACACTCATAACAGACATGCATACAAATATACTATAACATGTGTGCTTCGTTCATATGCATGCACATGTATCCCATTCATGCGTTACAAATGTCTAGGCTCGGTGTTGCAGTTGTAAGTCTGTACGTACGTCCACGCATTGATATACAAATTCTTGAATGCTAGTCGTTGTGCAACTGTGTAGCCTTGACAGAGGAATTTGGACACGCGGCTCTGTCAATATCAAAAAAGTTCTGCATTCTGCTTGTTTATCGTTGCGGTTTGTGATAACTTGTTGTGATGATGGTGGTACTCGTGGGAGCGGCGATACCGGTGGTTGCGGTGATGGCGATGGCGATGGCGATGGCGACTGTCGTAATAATTTGGATCGTCGTCTTAATAACCGACCGCTCAAATACCGATAGCCATGGTGAGGTTGTCAGGTTGAAGGCTGCGTGCCCCAAATACGTCGAGTGTCGTGCGCCAAGTACGCGTGTTGCTGTGTGTGGCATTCGGGATTAAGTCTGGAGTTTTCCTGCGTGGTCCCCGCCTTTGCCTTTCTTGTAACAGTTGTCTGCTACGGCCTTGTACACAACTTGCTGCATGGCAGGGTCTACCACAGCCCACTCCGCGACTTCTACAGCAAGCTTTTTAGCCCGAACGAAGTCATTCTCGTAGTCAACATATGTGTCGATGCGGACGAGGTCGCGAACAAGTGTGTCGAATGCGACGACTGAAATGTTCTGTCAGGCTGCATGTTTGCAACTCTCGATGGTCTTTGGGGTGTTGGCCATCGTGGCCATGAAAATGGCTCGGAGCATCTGGGTCTGACACCAGCACGTGTAAAGAGAAGGCAAAAGAAGGCAAGATAGCGCGGGAGGGGGGAGGAAACGGAGCGCACTTCGGAGCGCACTGTATTGTATGACTGCGTCCCGTCGCCTTGTATATTAAGAATATCCACAGACAGAACATAGCATACAGCCTATACAAACTAGTCACCATGAATAGGGACATCCCCAAGCAATACGCCTTGAATAAGCTTGCGGACCATAAGCAGAGGCTGGAGGCGCGCATGGACTTTGTGTACCAGGAGACGCTCAAGCACCTTGAGGGTCAGTTGCCAGTGTTTTGGAACAATCTCAAACCAATACTGGAGCGGTGTTGCAGCGAGACGGAGCTGAGCACTCAGTGCTGTTCACGGATGACCGGCCCTATTAACCTTTTATTGCCACTTACTAGCAGGAGGCGATTTCCTTGATGGTGTAGTATTTTGGAAATACTACTATTGGAAATACTACTGTTAGCATGGTTTTGGAAGATTTTTAGTTCTAATGTAATATTGCGAAATTGCAGTACATTCGGGCCTGTAGGCGGGCCGTATTCTTCCAGTTCTATGACGCGGCCTTTGGTCAAAATAGGGCCGGTCATCCGTGAACAGCACGATTTGAGGAAATCAGTCTGTACAACGTGATTTCCTCAAATGTCTCCGCCAGTCACCGCCCGACTAAATATTGCCCACAGGCGCACAATGCACCTTCCAAGAATGCCAATACTTGGGCCAGGGTGCTGCGGCAGAGGTGAAAAGGGTTCTCTTCAACGACACCGAGATGGCGCTGAAGGTGTATGGCGACCTGCAAAAGGATCGTGAAAGAGCTGACAGAGAAGTCGCTGCATACGAACACCTGGTTCAGCTGCAGGGCAGATACATACCTCAGCTGATAGCGCGTGGCTGTCTCGAACCAGCCAGCCAGAACCCGCGCCACTTCGTAGCACTGAGTGTTGTTGCGGGCCAACACATTTCATTGCCACTGTCACAGAACACTTCCGCTGCCGCCGTGGCATCTCTAGGCGCCATCCATCAGAGCGGTGTCTTGCATGGCGACATCAAGGCATCAAACATCCTGAGCACGCCCACTTCTGTATTCCTTGTTGATTTTGAGCGCTCAATTATTGACCCCGACAAAGATGCCCTGGAGACCGAAATGTCGGCATTGAAGCGGTTGCTTGGGATGGAGAAGTAACGTTTTTGGCGTACACATGACACACTTGTACGCGCAGCAATGTGTCCTGCCTCTAAAAACCCGCACGTTGCTAGTTATGCGGCAAAGGCGTGTCCCAGCACCTGCAAGCTGTACTTGTGCGAAGTTGTGACGGTACGGAAGCAGGCTCATCGTATACGTTAAGCAGTACGTAGACCATGTTGGTACATTTACGTTGTGAGTCTGTAAAGCATGGACGTTGCTAATATGGGAGGGCTGGGCGAGAGGGCAGTGTCCTGGCCTAGGGTCGCGTGGTCTAGCAGTGGGAGTTGTGGAGCCGGGCTGTGTGTGTTCGTGTGCTCGTGTGTTTGCTCTCTCCCCGGGAATTTGGCCCCATCGAAGAGGGGGGATTGGGTTCTGTGCTGTCTGGCATCAGAGTAGAGAAGATGTAGGTGGCTTGTGAGAGTGGAGAGGAGGTGGGGACGCGTTGGAGGAGAATGGTGTGGAGGTGGAGAGCAGGTGATGCTGGTCCCGGCCGCCCAGGGTCAGGAGGGGAGGGATCTCGGTGTGGTAAGCGGGAGCAGGCAGCGTCTGTGAGCCGTGCCTTTTTTTTAGGGGGGCGCCGCGCTGGCTTGTCATCCCCCCCGCGGCATTAGGTATTTTTGCTTTGTCTTACACTGGGCTGCGCCCGGAAGCCCGCAACCCCCAGGAGGAGACTGCCGTACGGACTAGATTTTTTGCCTCGGTTGTGAGTGGACCGGTGAGGTAGTGTTGGCCGTCCTCGGTAGGTGTCCGTTGCTAGTGGTAGGTGAACAGCTGGCCTTAAAGGTCCAGTGTGCGAGTGCCCTCGTTGTGTTTGTCTTCTGGGTGCAACCGTGTCTCGGCTTTTGTGGTGTGGCGTTTCAGGCCCGTGGTCCTCCGTGTATTTTCCGCTGGAAGCCGATGATCTGGGTCTTTCCATAGTTATAGAGCGTGACGCCATTCCCGGTTGAATTCAGTTGTCTCCGTTATATTATGTAACATAATGGAACAATGGCTACCAATGGCTTGCAAAGTAGAAATCTGCAATGAAGGCGTAGTCCATCTGGGTCATTTTTATTTCAATTGTGAGATTTTTTTAAATAAGGGACGTAATCTTACCAAACAAAAAATCCGACGGCAGAGGGCTGTCTAACAGGACGGAGACAGCTGCTACGAAAATGGACATGAATAAAAGAAAGCAAATATCTATTGGAAGCAACCAGTCCTAGCTTATTAATTTATTGCCATATCGTCAGGCGTCTTCTCGAATGTTTTGACAGCCCCGATGTCGGAAATGCAGCCCGCTCCCCGCGACGTTTGGAAATGAAATGAACAAATGACAAGCGTTTCCGCAATGCTATGTGTTGGGAATGGGTCTGCGTCTCTAACGTGTTTTGTTGGGAGGTGAGACAGTTACGTAACCGACTTGCATCTCGACAACAAGGAAAAGTTGCATCCGTGTCAACGCGTACACAGTGGAACAGTCGTCCTTCATGACAGGAGCTGAAGGTGAAACAATCAGGGTTGTACGGCGTTTACGTCCCGGCGCTGGCGGTAATTGTGTAAACGAGACATAAACAAGCTTGTAGCACTTCCGTCTAGAAGACGTAGTGTCCCATGATTACTTGCAGTGCACTTGCGACCTTGCCTTCCGGCTTAATTAATTCTTCGGAACATATTGCTGCTCAATCGCTCTATACTTAAGGGCCAAGCAATTGAACGCCCAAAACTTTATCGCGTACTTAAAACTAGCGCTAACTTTATCGTTTGCTCTGCTGCTGGGACCATGAACGGCCGAACCGTCCGCGTGACGCCAACTGCTGTGGACTTGCAATATGCCAAGCCATGCGTCCCTGGTCGCGCAAATGTGTGTCCAGCCATATTGCGTACTCGTGCGATGCCTTGTGCTAGCCGGCTAAGCCGCGCAAGGTAAGGGGGTGTTTCGGCTCAGCATCACAGCAAAGTTAGCGTGGATGTTAGTCTGAGCTCTTACCAGAATGCCGTGAAACCCACCTATAAGTTGCGCTTTGCCTTACTATACTGCCTTCAACGAAGACTACAGGTCTTCCACATGGTCAACAATGGTTGACTACTTCAGCATCTTGACAACGCCTAACCCCCCCCCGCGTTTCACCGTGCAGCCGGGGGCCTTTGGCGATCCGTGCTCAAGCTATGCAGGCCGCCCAGGCAGTCGGGGGTCTGATTCATGTTTCGGGTAAGGGCAGTTCGGCTGAGTTATTACTGCAGGTTCCAAGTTCTGAAGGCGTGTCCTTCAGCCTTCGCCCAGCACATACGTTAGTAAGCCGCGAGCCGCAGCAGGCCTGCTTTGCAAGGCTTATAGCATCAAGATTCCGGAATATAAAGCATATGCCAAGGCCGCCGTTGATGGCACAACCATTGACTGGTGGTTGACTCACATGGCTTCGCACTACTCATCTCCAAGTTGGAACACATTGCCACACACTATCACACCGAATCCTGTCCGCTGCGATGCGTTTTTCGATCGTGATCCTGGACGCTGTACATCGCACCAGCATCGTACAATTTGACGCAAGCTTGCCGTCGTGCTCCACTAGGAGCTTTGTGCATCCCAACAAACGTGCCATGAGCTCAACCGCCAATCCTTATAAAGCGCATGTGATGGGGTGTTGTTCAATTGAGGGAAACGGAAATCCCAGCGCCGCCGATGAGAGTGATGGGCGGTAGTGCTGGCAGAGGTGGTGGTATACCATTTATACGGAACTTTGACCACCTCCATTTACAACCTGCGCCTGAGATTGGGACCTGCAATAGAGGACAAGTTCACGATTGCCGAGAGTAATTAAAATTAATTACTCTTTCTGGACCTGCCCAAAAAGTCTAAAGCCAAGGTCAATCATTCCCTCCCACGGCACTGCGAAGGATCTCAATCATTTCGACGAAGAGCATGCTTTGGGCCTCCACCTAACCCTCCTAAAGCCTCCATGAAACGTGCAACAAAGCGATCTCACCAAATGGGGGTGGTGCGTGTGCCGTATATCTTTGCCCAAAGCAGCAGCACCACAGCCGTCTCAGCGCTCTCCTTGCAAATCCCTCTGCAATCCATGTCCCACAGAGACTTGGATCATGGCGGGCTCAGCAGCGCTGGCGTTGTCGGTCCCTGTTGCCTTCGGAGCCGTACGGCAGGGAAGGTACGGCAAGAATTTCTGCAGTACGTGTCGTACTTGTACTGCCATGCTTTACTTCCCCATGCACGCGCCGTGTCTTAAATTTACCTCCTATAGACCTAAGTACCCTCCCCCTCAGACAGTAACTATACAACAGAAACCTTTCCTTCCTTACAACTTAGAGAGTGTACCCTCTCTCTCTCCCGCTTTCGCTTCCCCCCCCCTCAAACACCCAAACACACACGCACGCACGGCTCCACCCTCGGCTGCCGTGTGACAGGGTCCAAAGTGTAACCCCGGGGGACGCGCTGGTGCTCCTGAAGACCGGCGGCAATGTGAAGCTGGTGGACGTGCGCTCCAGGGTGGGTGGCAGTGGGTCCTGTATTACTCCTCTATTTCCCACCTACCTACCAGCGTTTCTTAAAAGTACTATATTACTCAAAAGGAATAAATATATTAAAGCTACCTACCTCAACATTTCCCCCCCCCAAAAAAAAAAACTCCCCTGCTTCTTTCTCCACTGGTGCCAATTTCCCCCTCCCCTCCGCTTTTCCTCCCCTTCCCCCGCCGCCTGCCTTCTCCTATTCACCTTTCCAACCCCAGTGATCCCCTGCACACCGCACCACGCCGTACCACACCACGTCATCACCCTCCCGCCCCCGCGGTGCCCTCCACTTTCTCGCGTATGATTCCCCCTTGTTGGAACGCGACCGAAACTCCTATGATGCCAGAGAATGGTGACAGCAGTAATAGGACCCGGGGGAGGGGGGGTTCGGTGGCGCTTTGTTGCTGGTCTTGACACCCCCCCCTGCCCTCCCATGCAATGCCGTCGTCCTTGCCGGCTGCAGTTGGAGGTGAAGATAGAGGGCCTGCCCCTAAAGCGAGCCGCCCGCAAGGCCAAGGTCATACACGCGCCATTCAACGAGGTGCGGCGGCGGCAGGGGAGGGGAGGGAAGGGGTGCGGAGGAACGGACATATGAAAAGATGGGGTGGGAGGGAGGGCCGGGCAAATGGGGGGGAGGTGGTAAGGGAAAGGAAAGGAAAGGAAAGGAAAGGGAGGGGAAAAGAAGGGAAGGGAACGGATTAAACGCGCCCTAAATGCAGCCCGGGAGGGTATGGGCATGCATTACTTGTATTGGACGACATTGAGCGACATGGCGCAATGGAACGATATGGGTCAAATTTTGCAATTTGTGAACGCATCTTTCCCCCCTTGCTGCCCTCTCCCCCTTGCTGCCCGGTCCCCTAACCCACCGTTGCTTCACCCCACCCCACCCCACCCCACCGCCGGCATTCAGCTCCGGGGCGGCAAGCTGCAGCCTAGCCCCTCCTTCCTGGACGATATTTTGTTCGCACCCGGGGTCGATCACGAGACCACATTCATCGTGCTCAGCTCGTAAGTGCGAAGGGGATTGGAGGGGAGGGGCAGGGGTTCAGCCAAGTCAAGGAAGGGGAGGTGGCCTGCAGAAGGGTAGCGCATACATACATACACATACATACATACATACATACATACACAAGTGCCGCTTTTGTCTCTTTAACTCTCTCCGTGTGTGTATATACGACATCGCAGTCGGGGCAGTGAGACATGTCGCCGGGCGGCTAAGGCCGTTCCTCCCTCAGCGATCGTGACGACATATATACAGATGCAGGGGGGCTTCA